ATGCTAAGAACCTACCTACACATGCAGTGTCAGCCGTCTTCAAGACGAAGTTGCGCCCGCGCTTCATCGGATCTTTCAAGGTAGTGGCCAAGAAGGGCATTGCGTAAGTACACGCTCAATCTTCCGAAGAAGATGCGGACGCACCCCGTTTTCTACGTGGGCTTGCTTAAGCCGTACCAGGACCCGATGCAGGTGCAGATGGAGGCACCGAGGGTGACGAGGTAACAGGCGCGGAGGTCGCGGTCGTCGAGGACGCAGTCGCAGGTGTCGAGGACGCGACCACCCACGCGGGCACCGCAGGCACAGGTGGAGGAATCGGCGCCGGAGGTGCCGCGGGCACAGCGAGAGCCGCAGGCTCAGGAGGCGCAGCAGTCGGAGCCTGCATGCGGGCCAGGAGGTCGAGCTGACCCTGAAGCACAGCCTGCTGACGCTGTAGCTCCCCGAGCTCCCGGCCACGCTGCTCATCGCGATTGCGATAGTATCGCACCCAGTCCTCCAGGGCCCCAAGGCGGTCTCAGACCTCTCGAGGCACCTCGATCCATCGCGTCCGCTCGGCGAGCTGGTCGAGTTCAGTGGCAGTCCGGCCCAGACGCGCATCAACGTCATGGATGTGATCTCTAAGGCGGCCCGCCTGCTGCCGCGCCTCCAAGAGCTCATCTTGAGTCGCAAAGGGCCCTACAGCGGCCTCCACCGACTCTGCTCGATGAGCATGGGAATCTACATTACCATGTGGAGCGCCTCCTGGCGAAGCGGCGGTGCCGGGGTCAAAACCAGTATCTGGTGAAATGGTGAGGGTACCCTCACTCCGAGAACTCCTGGGGGTTTGAGGTGTCCCTCCGCCAAGACTGCCCAGACGTCGTGAACGCTTTTGATCAGCATGATCACCAGCGCCCCGAGGGCTCAAGGCCGGCACGCCGGCGGTCTCGCGCTTCCCGGCAATAAGCTGGGGAGCTGCTGGGTCAGCCACATTGCTCCGAGGCTGACCCTGAGCCATAGCGCTCACTCCCTCGCGGGGAGGAGCGGCTGGAGTGCTCTAAGGAGCGAAGAGCGCAGCGCTAAACTGGGTCTGCAGCTGGGCGAGTGCCGAGAGGCTGCGCTTGGCTCGGACCTTCGCGAAATTGAAGCGGGGCTTGCGTTCACTGCGAACATCCCCTTAACTGAAGCTGGCTCGGAGAGCATCCACGGAGCTGAGCTTCCGGCTGTGCTCGGCCCAAGACTCGATCTGAGTTTCGTACTTAATTGAGTCTTCCCCCGGGCTAAGTACCACCGGGTACGTCCGCATGGCGGGCACGGACTTCTGCTGGGCTTGCAGTCGCAGCCTCTCCGCGACAGTTGTAGACTGTGGAGTGAGGAGTCGCTCTCGCAGAGACGTACGCAGTGCGAGCTCCTCCGGAGTCCGGGCCGCAGGCCCAATGGCGTGCAGCGCGAGAGACTGCTGGAACGCCTGGCGACAAGCCTCCGCGGGGTCGCGAGGCCGGAAGCCGTAGTCGGCAGTGCTGGAGTTCAGCAGAGGCCGCAGCTCGGGGCGCTGGGAGCGCATGGGAGCCATCTGCGCCGCAACCTGCTCGGACTGAGCTTCGTCCAAAAGGTTGGAGATGACGGGGTCCAGGGGCACGTCCTCACCACGAGGCGGCGAATACCGTGGCTCCGTGAGCGCGCGCAGCTCGTAGAGACCGGAGGAGCGTTCAGGGAACGGGTTCGGAGTTCGCAGCGGTGGCAGCGGCTCCTCCCTCGACGGCGCAGCGCGCTCTGCAGGTGGACGGCTCGGCGAGTGCGCGCAGGGCGCGCTTGGTCGAGACGGCTCGGAGAGCCAACTGGGGCCGGCGAGCCTTCTTCATGGCGTGTCGACGGCGTGGGCGAAGCGTCGCTGCGGCTCGGGGAGCGTCGCGTGGCTGGAGACGCATCTCCTCGGTTCGGAGAACCCAGCATGGACTCGTCCACCTCGCCCTCTTGACCAAAGCGTCCCCTAGGATCCATGATCTGGCGGGTTGATGCTCGAGGGGAGCTGGGGCTTGCGCGCTGCAAGCGGTTCTTCTGGCGGTGCGCCGCGAAGTACTCGGACACCGAGAGCCTGGAAGGCGTCGAGGGTCTGCGCGCGGGCGCCGGCGTTCGCGAAGGTGCGGAGGCACGCAGTGCAGCAGCACGAGAGGAGCGAGGCTCCGAGGCGGATCTCGCAATAGGCTGTCTGCGGTCGAAAGACCAAAAGGCTTTATGACTTGACGTCATGCGAGGGCGCGTTGCGCCGAGAAGTTCTCAGAGAGGTCCACGCGATGTGGATTGACTCGTTCGAGAAGGAACAAGACCCGGTGGTTGACCGTTAAGCGTGAACACACGTGCCCACGGTTTGGTGGGGGAGGGTGTAACGGGGTTACATGAGAGTTACCCGAAGGGTTACGAAGTGGGAACGCACTGTCTAACCTAAATCAGTAAGATAATCAGTACATGGCTTCAGAGCCACTGATTATGCATATGACTAGGGTTCACTATGCTAGATAGTGAACCGGATACATTTACACCGTAGGCGGCTTTGCCGCAATGAAGGGAAATACATTCAGTTTGAGATTCACACAGTTAAGAGTTAAGGGTTGACTCTTGGGGTCCGTAAGGTGTACGGACTCGTACGTTCTGGTACTGGAACGGGCTATCTTAAGCTGAGACTCTGTGAGTCTGTTACGTCTTCCTCTGACGCTAAAGCTACGGCAGCCCCGCTGCAGTTTTGGTGCCGCGGACAGCAGACACGGTCCTGCCCTCCGTTGATTGCGTGTCTCCACTGCAATTTCATGGCCCGACTTGCGTTCCCTCGTCCCAATGTGTTGCAGGCCATCTTTGATCGCCCCGTCTGAGCTTTGTGTCGTCGCCTTCCCTAAGTCAGCCGTATCTGAATCGCTACCACTGCGATGTTCTTCTCCCCGCCTACACCATTGCAGGACCACCCAGTCGCGGCCAACTCCATGTGGCGCAGGCCAATTTTGCTGACAGCATCCCCCCGCGCGTCACTACGAGTGCTGTGGAGAGCGTGCGCACTTCCAGTGCAGCACACCTGTCGATCCGGTGACCTGCCAGGATCGCACACAGCCGATAAAGGCAACGACTACCAGGAGGGCCCACGGTGTCACCCGTGGCCACACACACAGCCCCGCCTTCTGGCTGACGGTCAATGACCACCGGAAATACGCTACCGCGCGCAGTAACACAGACATCCAATTTGGTCCAGGGTGTCACCCCCGAGCTGCCGGGTCGATGCATGCATGCACGCCGTCCGCTGGAGCTCCGCCCCCCTGGAACGACTGGCTCGACGAGGGAGTTGTCGTTGTCTAGTCGCGGTCAATCAGAGCGGTATCTCTGCTCACTGATGCTCTCGGATTGGCCGGACCGCTCTAACGCAACGCTGCCCGCTGATTGGTCCTCCAGGAGACTTGAGCTCCACGGCAGCAATTGACGAGTCCTGCATATGTGTAGCTTAAGGTAGCCTAATATGCAGTTTACGGACTGTGCGACACCATCTTTGTAGACGCAGGACTTCCTGGCGTTGAAGGCGTTGAAGGTGTTCCCGGGGCATGCGCGTCTGCTTTGAGGCGAACTCGGATTAGATTTGCAGCCTCCACTGGGATCAGCTCTACATTGGCCCACTCCTAGTGCCAGATATCCCAGCACGTCATCGCCATCCCCCGCACCTTACATCGAGCCCTAATAGACACAAATATCAGCCCCACCTTATTGCAGTCGCCGCAGAAGTATGTCGTTGTGGGGGGCGCCGTGCTCGCTGGAGCGCAGCGCAGAGCAGACCTTGCAGGCGCGCTGCCTGCGCTTCGCCTGCGTGCCTTCATAGCATCACTCGTCAACTTGGCGTGCTGTGTGTGTTGAAGCCGGTCCAACACCAACGGGGATAGGTTTGTAGTTTGGGGTGGCTGACCGCTGCCTTCCGAAGCTGTTTTTTCGTACATGTCGGTCGCTTGAAGCTGATAAGCTGTAGGTGGAGCTTGATCATGTACTTGACATGAGTGAGCGAGCGCGACTTCTTGCCATTGTGGTAGGCCTTGTGGGCGATGCAGCAGTTGCCAATCGCCAGGTCGATCAGACCCAGCACCAACGAGGTGTAGTATTTCTTGATGCGGAGCGCACGTTGCAGCAAGGCGAGTAGCATTGCCAATGCAGCTGATCGTGAACGCCCCCCCCCCTGCTCCCACGCAGGCGTGGTAATCTTTATAACCCGCGGGCACGGCACCTCCACCTGCTCGGCCCCAACTCTGTCAATTTCAGTGCCCCCGCCAGTGCAAAGGAAATGCGCTGGTCGGGTGTCGTACCTACGGATTGCCGTCATGTTCGGAACAAGCTTCGAGCGAGCAATCTTGAATGAGCTTTGCGGAATAGTCACAGGTCGTGTCTTCTTCTTCTCAATGACTTGCTTGCAGTAGCCTAGCTGGTTCGTCATGATAGTACCCCTGCAATAGAACCCCATCAGCATGTCTAAGGCAGTTAGAGTGAGTTTCCCGAGCCTGCAAGAGAGGGTAAAGACTTGTTGGTAAAAGTGTACCCCCTGGCAAAATGAACTCTCCCATTGACTAAGTGAGAGCCAATCATAGGTCTTTACTAACTAGCCGATTAGGAGTGACATGTTGGCGACCGCTCGTGCGATGATGGTTTGACGGTATTCGGAGAGAGCTCACTTCTCCTTTTGCCAACGACTGAGCACTAGTCTATTAGAGGACATTAAGAGACAAATAAAGCTTAAGGCCGTGTTTGTGATGTTCTAAAAATAGCCATTTACAGGGTGAAATCGTTTTTGGTGCGAAAGAAAGAGAACACCTCAGGTACTTCACTTGGTGGCTTATATTTAGGAACTTATTTCGAAGCCTGCTGGTATCGTAAACACGACAACAACATAATCGGATTTGGGGTCTAAAATCAGGTTTTTTAGGCCGGTTTAAAATTCGGGTCTCACCCTGTTTTTTGTGCTAAATTGAGTTTAGGTCGGCCAGTATACCCAGTGGTCAGTCAGGTCAAATGTCACAAAAGAAGAGGATTTCCCTTGTCAGCTCTCTCACTTCCACAATTTGCACTGTACCGACACTTCCCCATTCTACCTGACTGCCATTGTCCGGCAGGAGCCCAGCAAGAAGACCACCGCCGTTGTTGGTAAGGCAAACACCAACACGAGCGCGAAGAGTGTGGACAAAGTCGGCAAGGGCGCCAAGAAGAGCAAGGACAAGAAAAACGAGAGCAAGAGCAACAAACGCAGCAGCAAAAGCAAGACAGCGATGGTAAGTAGCGCGGTCGCGAACGGTGAAGGCGCGCAGAGAGCGAAATGGACCGAGATCCAAGAGTTTGATCTTTTGGAGAGGTACCTCGATGCCCGCGAGAAACCGGGATGTAAAACAGATAAAGTCGAAGCCTGCCGCCGATAAAGGCATATCGTGAAGAAGATACGGAAAGCTGGGTTCGTTCACATGACAGTCTGGAGCTTAATCGCAGGTATACCGGGAAGGCTACCGTTGCCCCTGAAGCCGTTATAAGGTTGAATATCCCTAAACCGTGTTACCATTACGCTAAATAATCTAATGTGTCTTCTCAAACGGAGCTTACAAACCTTGTTCTGTCTCCTTAGATCCTGCTGTTTTTTTGTTGTTTTTAACGTAGCCAAGCTCCAAATCTCATTTTTCTTGAGGTATATTTAACGCCAATAGATTAAATGTTGTTTCTTAGGTGGTGGACCGGACGAATATGATTTCATAAACAACTATAATGAATTCAATTTTTGGAGAAAGATGAAAGAGAAGGAAATGAATAAGGCGACGAATTGGCGGAACTTTGACATCCGTGCTCGTTCGACGGTGTGGCTGGTTCTTCGCCCCAGGTTTGTTGTGGCTCCATGGTCCGCTGTATGGTTGGCTATACTACCATAGTAGTGCACCGCAATGGCGTGCATGACCTTGCGTTGCGTGCCACGATCATCCTTGCCCACTCTGATCAGCTCCGTCGCGGCCTGATAGGTGAGTCGCTTGCTTTCCAGTAGCCAGCTCTTCTGCGTTTTTTCTTCTGGAATGAACACGACCGTGTCAAGCACTCCGGCTTCTGCGAGCGTCGCCTCGGTCCAACAGCCTAACTAGCAGAGAGACGTGTTGCCATCACGCGCCATCGTATCCACCAGGTACCGGCACGCAACCGGATAGGGGGTGAACTTCATGAAAACCCGGAGAAACGCTCTGTCCTACTTGAATGCCGACAGCATCATCGACTTTTGGTCTGCACTGTCAAACGCTAGCACGAAAACATCCCGGTACATCCATTACTAAAAAGCGTTTTGCCACCGCTCAATTCGTGCGGCTCAGCGCGTGCATCAAGCCACGAAACGTCAAAATCACCTCACTATTCAGCGCGTACTTGCTTTTGGTGGAGATTTCGTCCACCTCGGTCGTCTTCATCTGCTCGGCTGCCTTTGTCGCTGCGTCCAGCGCAGCGCAACGCTCTCCGTGGCCGTCGCAAGCGTTTCCTTGGTGCCCGACATCGGTGCAAAAGTTCTCCGGGTTATTGGTCGCGCGAGAAGAGATAGGATCACCACTGTCGCACCGCAAATTCGCCTTTGGCATCTGAAATACCACGTACTTCTCATTGATCCTGTATATCCTGTCACAGCACATACAGTATAGGCGAGCGATTTGACTTGAAGCGCGTCATCCACGTCCTTAGCTTGGGGATAAATCGTATCCATCGTGCGCTTTCCGCGCATTTCCAGCGGATAGCACGAAGTCCTGTCGCTATCAACGTAGAACTTGAGATTGTCGTCGTTCAGCAGCCCTGAAGCCATGGGGAGCGAGTGTTGCTTGCTCCAGCGCGGTTGTATAGCTTGTCCACATCGGAGCCAGCCCTACGAAAAAAAATACCGTCACATCCGAACTTAGATGGTAACATTTCCGCCGTTTCTAGAGCCTATATATAAGGATCAAACATGCTATCAAGAGATAGCTGGGGGGGGGGGGTTATAGTTGAACTTTGAGAAGGTTCGCAAGATGGCCTAAGGATGCAGTCGATTTTGTAGAGGATCACAGTCGAGTCCATCCATGTTTTTACTAAGAGAATTAAAGGAGGTAGTGACGGAAAGATTCGGCAACGCACTGAACTATGCTATTCTTACACTTTGCCGTTTGCTATGGTTTGATCACAATATTACCACAAACCCACTAAGTGCGCGCGTGAAAGTATGCCGGCCAAAGTAGAAGCTTTTCTTTATGGTCTTGTTATAGTGGACCTGATCCGTTAGTTTTTTCTTGATGATACTTTTAGATACGGTACAGGTGCGCTTTGGAATTGTGCTTGGTCACATCGAGGCACACCTGCGATTGTCGCTCTAGCTTTTTATTCGGCAAAATTCATTTGCCCAATGAGCTCGAGGAGCTTTGCCCACTCAAGGAGTAGCACCCTGTTTTTCCTGCCGCCATACTCACCGCTATTGAACCAAATTGAAGTCGGATTATCTTTGCTAAGACGCTGGCTAAATCGACACGCACCGTTGGCCTTTCAGACAAGCCCAGTTAAGAACACTAAGTGTGGCACGCGACCTTTACGATTCCGTGGTCAGCATCACATAAATGGTTTTGCTCTGGCTGGCGGGTGTAGCTCACCGTTAAATAAACGCGTGAAGCTTCGTGGAGCTGTATCTACGACAAAAGCGCGCTCAAATGCTCGTTAATCAGCGATGCGGTTACGTGACCTTCCGTTGCACGGTGGAAGCCGACACAACACTGACAAACATATAAAAACTAACGCCATGCGAGCCCGGCGAAGCTTTGATTTTACAGTAGCAAGACGTTTGAGGAGAGCGCACGCAATGATGACGGAATATTAGTACTCACACTTGTGGCCTAGTTTTAGAAGGTGACCTCTACATCTGATTCCAAGCGACTTAGGCGCGCCGCATATGGGGCGCACCAGTCGCCCCCAGAAAACGCTAGCTCTCCCAGAGATCGATAGTGCGTCACTGAATTACACCCTTACACCGTGCCTAGTACACTGTAGAACCCACTGGGTTTTATATAGAACAGGTAAGAAACCAATTTAACCCACTCGGCTTCGTGCAACCTTCATTGGGTGATTGAGTTTTGATGTTACCCCTAGCCGACACAAGCAACATTCCATTGGGAGTTTTAGGCGTGAACAGGCTGTTAGATATAAGCGTTTCTTAGGTACGACTATCTATTGAGTGAAGAATAGCAAATTTGCGCTCATAGCCACAGAATTTGTAGAGGATCGAATGCGGTTTCGGCTTAGAAAATCCACCAACGGTTATGATATAACAGGTTAATAAATTAATAGTTATAATGGGATAATAGCGTTAAACATGAGAAATTTATTTTAGTATTTTGAATAAAATTAAAGAGTTTTATTAGACGGAATCGTCGTATCCCTGCAGAAACTCTGGATGAAAATCCAGAGAACTCCAGTTTGAAAACGGTTTGACTTCATCACACATAACAGCCAAATGATAGCTCAGCATCACAGATAATCTCCAATATTACAACACATCTGAATCGTACCATGTTTTGTCCTGGGCTACCAGGCTCCAAGCCGGCGTAAGCTGAACTGACAACTCCTCGTCAGACTCGGCCAACACACGAAATTAGCTTGCGACACGCTAATTGTAGGTTTTAGCAATATTGGTCCAGCCTTCGACCACAAGTCCACTTGAGCCGGCCTACCAGTCGGCGAACTCGGGCCTAAAAGCCGAGGTAGCCATCATCAACCACAAGTTCAATCGAATGGGGTGTCATGTAGCTAGTTCGGCTGGTACCAAAGGGCTTGTCCTCCTTTATAGTCAGAACTGCAGATAGTGTAGCCGGGGGCGGCGTGGTCGGGGTCTCTACAATAGTCAGATGTCGAAAAAACAATTAAGATAGAACCGCGATGGGCGATAAGCTCTTAAACATAAAATGAGTATCCTTACATACGGTATGTGCAGTTACAAGTAGCTCTCCTAAAGTAGCAATATCAAAAACAAGTATTGAGCAAGTGAAACAAACCATGTTGTGCTGGATTCATCACGTACTATAATGCGCCCACCGCGACCCTGGCACCTTTCAACAACGTTGCCTGTGTTCTATAACACTTACTTGTACAAGCCGAAGCGATGCCCAACTACACCGACAGACGCAATATAAGCGCGTCAGAGCGTAAAGATAGCAGTGCTGATGTGCAACTCACACAACGTACCCACCTTGCAACTCGTAACACCAGCCTGATCGCGCCCCCATCACATGTACAGTCCGAACGCAGCACGAAAGCTACAGTCAGAGCGTTAACACTACTTCTGCCTGTCATACATTCTGCGCTCATTATCCTGTCGCAGTTCCATTCCGCTCCCCTGGCTAAAACCGTGTGCAGTCTTAAATACAATTATGACCGGCACTAGACTAACGAAATGATGGAAGGACTCAGTCATCGTCCACCTATTATCTGTCAGTCTTACAACAAAAGTAAACGTATAGGGTATGGAAGACTGGGTATTGAGTTTTGTGGCCCAGGAAGCGAAGTAGAAGCGGAGAAAAATACGTTGATTGCTGTTACTGTTGATTGTGGATTCTGGTGGTGAGCGCTGGAGTAAGGCACTACATGGACTGCGACGGAGTCTCGACGATAGAAGAGCTTATCAACAGGCTCCCCATAACCTGGGATCCGTCGGTGAGGAAACTCGAATGATCCTCTATGTTCAAAGTCGTGCGGTAATTGGTAAGGACATAGCCCTCCAGCGATCGTGCTCCTTCGGCGAGGCAGTGCTTCGAAGATCGCATTCAACGAATATAGTAAGATGTGCACCCGGTATCACGTGCGCGGGTCGGGTGCCAGAGGATGGTGAAATGCCACGAGGCATCGTTGGCGAAGTCGTCCCGCACCAGATGCTGCGCGGTGGGGATACATCAATGACTTCGGTTATACTGGGTATTTGCGCCTGAGCCGAACATCCTTCACCAGCACGAAACTACCAATGAGCTGCTAGGCAAGAGTGGGTGGTGCTGGGTAAACCTTACCAGATGTTGGCCGTCGATTCGTTTATGAAGATGCCGAACATATTTCAAAAAACGACTCTGCCGAAATAAATCAATAAAAACCTATTCAAGATTTACATCTGTATCAGACGTGACATGACATCTCTTTAGCAGCAAATATCCTTTCACGATTCGTGACGATCCGACACAGTCTCACAGTGTCACTAATCGCAAATTTAAGGGTGCAATTAAAACTAGCCTAGTCTACATGAACGTAACCAGTTCGAAGCTCAAGCCTGTCGTGTACTCTGACGCATAAAGGGCCGTAGACCGAAAATTGACACGTGGGGTTGTTTGACAATTAAGCAGAATGCAACTGTTTGGGTTTGAAGGAGCATAAACGGCAGTGGTATTCTCAACCGTGTTCCTATACACGGACTATTTTTCACATGCGTGATATCAATCTACACGCTCGATATCAAGGATGTTGAAGAAATCGTTTACTCATAACTGGTATAGGTGTCATACACTCCGCGCCAAGTTAATGTGAACACCTACATTTTGCCCTCTAGTTCAGCCAGTTTTACGAGTTATGCCACAGTGTTTAGATATGTTGTTTGTGTCGTTACAACACGTATGGGACTTGTTTTAACGTCCCCAATAGTGAAGTTTACGATGGGGCTACCATACAAGTGGTCGTTTGGGCCACTGCGACAAATATATGAACACCTCATCGCATATACAAAAAAAAACAAGTGAAAAAGAATGATGGTGAACGGATGGCTCATCTGCCTATACGGCATCTCCGGCTCCCCACTGATGCCTACATTCCCTTCAGCCACCCCACCTGGACGTCCGGAGATCTTATCGTGTCGCCGCCCTCATTGTGGTCGAGGTCGTTGATCTCTTTGTTTACACTGCTGTCCTCAGGACCGCCCAAAATAACGTGACCACAAAAAGCATGGACTATCATATCATAAATAATTGTATTGTGGACCGAAGAACTAGCACTATAATGTATGCATCGAGTCTATTCAATCTCATACTTTAGGAGTACAAATTATAGCATACTATTTAGCGTAAACGGTATTGGCAGAATATTGGTGGCAGCCTCCAAGTTTGCCACGTGTGTTGTTATTGTTGGCATTGTGCATTTTGTAAAATTCCAGCTGCCCACGGCCCAACAACTCAGTATTTCTAGCAATGGGCTTTACGGCCCACCCTCGCCCAACGTTCACGTCAGTCCAGGTCACAAGGTTGTTTTTCGGCTGTGTCGTGATGAATTTAACGAAGTTATCCCTGAACACTTCCGTTGTCACCAAGTACGTGAGGCGCGAACACCCAAATTTCAAAGCCGAGATTATCAAGGCCAACACCACGGGGTCCTTGCTGAACTACGTGCGCCACCCCTCGGAACATATCTACGGAAGGCTATTGTGGGTTGCATGAACAACTCGCCGATTGCTATTTGTGACATCCGAACGACAAGGCAGTACTATAAAGACAACATCATTTACCCTGATTAAAAATCTAAACCTCCGATCAAACACCTGTTTTTCGTTAAAGTAGCTAAACGAATGTGGACCCTATGTCGAGACGCTACGAGCGGTCCTGAAACGTGTCATGTTCGCGGTCGATAGGGCACAATGTTGATCCTAGACGGATGGACCCATTTGAGCGAGCACCATCTCGCGGTCTTTGTTCGCTACGACGTAAATGGCCAAGTAATGACCCCTCTGCTTTGCATGGCTCCACTTCTCATAGAGGAAGCCGACGATTTTTTCGGTTGATGATTCAGCGCGACTGTGCGAAGCCGGTCGGACCAGTGTGTCTACATTATGGGCAACAATTGCCGGGGTCAACAGTCGCCTAGCAACTTCGGTGAGAGTTCGCCTGATTGGCTGCGCGTTGCACCGACTCAACGGTGCGATGCCGCAGGAGCTAATCCTGACTGTATAACGTACTCATCAAGCTTCAGACGCTGACTCAATCGGCTAAATCAGGTACGACTATTTTGTTTTGGGATTTATTTTTATTGTAACACTTTTAATTCGAAGAATATTTCGAAGAATCCGTAATTCCTAATTTATGAATTAACATATACCAAAAATCAGTACTACTATATCATGTATCAAGCTCTTTCGCGTGCCACGTGGTCAAACCAAGATATTTGATTGGGCAATGCGGTGGGATGGATACAGAGCATGACCAATTACGGTATCCCTGTAAAACCGGTTCTCCCCTTGTAACGACGGGACTGACAACACGACAAGCGGTCAGCATAGTGGATTTCCATTCACTTACTCTTCAACTCTCTTACTCTTCCTGCTCAACCTCCTCAGCTACCTCCGGTCGGCTCTTGCTAACAAACCTTATATTGTACTGTAGTTTATCGTGGTGCCATTCTTCCAGCTCTGGTGCCACACTGATTGATATCTTACAAATCTTTCACCTACGCTGAAAGTAAGCCCGCTGATACAGGAAAACTATGAAGGCTCAAAGCTAACAGCTAACAACGTGGGCCTTGGTCTGTATGGGTAATGCGAACTCGGTGTGAAGGTTGTGTCTTGGTGCTACTGATCTCCAGATTAGTTGGTAGCGCGCGGGGGGTGAAGATTGCGTGAATCAACGTGGGACACACCGCCACGGGAAGCTCGTAAGCGACATGGCGAGGGGGGTCTGGCACGAGGAACTGCACGCGTTCACGGGAGATCTGCTCGATTGTAATAAAGATCGGCAGGATTGGGTGGGGGGAACGGGGTTTAGAAAGCGGACGTTGAGCTCCCTGCTGAAGCGCTCCAGTGGGTTATTAGTCCTGTTGGTCACCGCGCGGAGTATGGCGTGGACGTTCCACAGCTCGACCGGCTACATGTGACGCCATGTGCGGTCGAAATACGACCAGAAGGTGGTCGTGTCGTACACGACATGTTCCTCGTTGCAGTGACGCTGAATGTACTGATGGACGCCGAGTGTCGCAACCTACGTGACTGTAAAGCTTAGAAGCGCACTCTGTGGGTTGGATGGTACATGCTAGAGTGATTTGAGTTATCTACTGGTCTGAACTACTTGTGGAGCTGTGTATCAGCAATCAGAGAGACGAACGCGTAATATCTTAGCGAGTACTGTCGCCTGCGCAATTCGGGCTTAACAGTGACGGGAACCGCTGTGAGCAAGTCGACGGCGCTACGCTCCATAGCAAAGCCAGCCTGTGCATCGTGGATTCAGAGCTTCTTCACGCGCCGGCGGATCACCTGTTTCCCGTGGAACAGGCATCCGTTGATGACCGCGTTTGGTAGTTGGTCTCGGATGGCAATCAAGGTGGCCTCGTAATCACACGCGATCGACTCGGGGTCTAGCAGGTGGTCCGTTGCCACAATGAGGAAGTAGAGGATGTTCCGGTACGTCGTGTGGGAACGCTCCGTGGCGAGCGAGTAGAAGACCGACACGAAGCAGTTCGTGGCTGAATTTACGTGGACGAAACGCACGGGAAGGTGCCGTCGCCGATGAAGAGTGCCGTACGGCGGTACCTCAGGAGCTGGAGACGAGCGGGGTGGGTTCAGCCGATGACTCAATGTAGGTTACCGCCTTCACGGTAGCTGTACTGAAAATGAAAGAAGTTAATTTGCACTTTGGCCATAGCGAGTGGCGCTTCTATGTGCCGCAGATGTCTCCTTCGAAGTGAAGGCGACGCACATGGTACACGCACACCGCCGCGCCCTCTTTGCCGAGGTAGAACTCGGTGCTGATGCGACGCCAGATCTGGTTAGCTGTCTGCTCCAGTTGGGTGACTGCAAGGACGCCAACACGTTCTTCCATCTCGGCACGGATGTTTCTTCCACTCACAGCAGTAGCTGCAGCGGTGTTGCACGTGCGCGGTATGAAGTTGGTGTACTCTTCCGTTCCGGTCAACCGCTCGCACCTGCCATGGCAGGCGTCTCCCCTGCGGCGGTAGAAACTGCAGCGATACGTGGTCCTGAAGCGAGTCTCATTGCTGTGCGTACTGGTAACCGTTGATGTGGATGGTTGGTGGAGAGGGGGTGGAGAGCTTTGGAAGACGGCTTCGAAAGAGCGCTTCACTTTCAGCGTCGCTTTCATTTTCTGGGGGCAGCCCAACCGAATTGACGGTGTCGGACGTCTCACTGGTCTCGCCCGCCGTGAGGGTCTCGGTCGACGTGCTGTTCTCAGCCGACGCGATGGTCTCCGTTGTCGAAGACAGCGACGAAACAGAGCCGGGTATTGGTGGCGTGCTTGAGCTGTCCTCCATCACCCAATCGGCAAGCGAAGCATGGGGTTGCACCGAAGGGGGGGGGGCACGAAGGGAGCAGCCGGGGTGAAGCTGAAGTACTTGCGAGCTCCTGGTCTGCGGGGCTCGGTGATGCCAATGCGTCCTCAAGTTCCGACTGGTCCGGGCCGGGTGGTTGTTGCGGCGAGAGTTCTTGCGGGCCTTGGGTATTGCCTGACGGATGAAAATTGAGAAGTGAGATTGATAGTCGGCCTAGCGGTGGATCAATACTGTAGATGGGCTAAGGATGACACCACTGCGATTTTGGAGTGACAATCGATGGTGTCAGTGCCATATGGAGGTGGCCAAGGATGACGCCAGGACGATCTCCAGCGGTTTCGGTCTCATGAGACAGTTTGTTGGCATCATTCGAGGACAACCGCCACAGCGTCGCTGCTGCTTCCTCCTTCTGCGTTGAGCTGCCATGTGCCAGGGTCGCCGAATTATTCTCGTTTGTCGAGTGCTTCTGGCTCATAGTGAAAATGAAAATCTTGCTTAGGTAGAACTTACAATAACCGGAAGAGTACGCTCAAGTTGAGCCCAGGTTTATTGGCATCTCTTAAAGCCAAAAGGACTCAAATCGGACTAAAATGGATCCATCGATTGGTGGACCCCTAATCCTGTGGTTAATCGCGAACTTCAAGCAAAAGATGCAACAACTTGACCTGATCCAGGCGCAAGCGTCCTCCTTATCTGCGGGGCACGTGTTCATCGTTGGAGCTTTCGTATGCGCTCTGGCGGTTCTGCTGCGCCAAAGCTTCGTGGTATTGCCATGGGGCGACCGGATGTCCAGGAGATCCTCGAGCCTGACGGACGCCCTGGTGCCCCCTCGACTCAAAGCCGACTCCGAGCTGTACCATGCTCCTGGAGAGACACACTAATGCCCAGAATGCGTTGCGCTGCCAGTCACGCGACGCGTTCCGAGGGCTCACTTTGTGCTGCATGGTGTTTGTCACTACGGAGGTCTGTGTAGATGTAGCCGTTTACCACACCTGTCGGTGAAGTAAGCAATACTTCCCGTTGTATTGTCTGCTGGCGGAGGCTTCGCTGTCTTCGCTCACAGCGTTTGGGACGGTCTGACGATCGCACACTTGGCGTTCCCATGGTAGGGTCTACTACTCGTTGTGAATGATTATTTTTTGATGGCAATGATTTTTTTTCAAAGGTTTGCGTGGATTCTCCGGTTTAGCGTCTTTTGGCCTCTTCCTCTCGACGTGATGATTCTACCGCGCAAATATTCTTGAGCATCGACCAGCGAACGATAAAGCGCTTTGCGTTGGGGCCTGTTCATCAACAACGGGGACAGCTGGAGGGACTGGAGAATTCCGGGGGTGTTTCAGGCACTTCGCGCCGCGTATTTGGTCGTTTTTGTTGCCAATCGAGGGCTATCGCGGCGTCCTGGTCGAACCTACAAGCAGCAGCACGATGCGAAGTTCGCGGGGTGGCATTTCGTGTTTGGTGTGATTCCGTCGATGCTCTCAATCTGCTGCTGACTGCCCATGCCTGGCTGTCCGATGGGATATATTGGTCCAGGAAGCCTGGCAGACGATGGCGCCTATCGTAACTGCACCGGGGGCGCTCATCTGTACGTGGCCTCGCTGGTGTTTGGACAACATCACCTACTCCAGACACCGACGTGCCAGCAACGCTACCAAGCGGGGCCATACGACCTAGAGGTGCTGCTCAATTGGCTAATGGTGGTCACAACTGCTTATCTCGGGTATTTACAAGGCGCGCTCTTCATGATCACCCAAGAGCTGACGAATGCACCGGCCAGCGAGGTGTAACGACACCTTTGGCTCTGTGGAGGTGGTTTAGTTGCCCTCACTATTGCGAGCGTAGGACTTCCTCGCGGACCATGGATTCCGCTCAACAAGAATTCGTGGTCGTTATCGTACGTGCTGCTAGTTTAGTCTTGGCTGCCTGGCTACTCGCGCTGTTCGTAAAACTCATTGATGGGGCAGCGCGTTTGAAGTGGCCTGGTATTGCATGCATCGCAGTCGGGAGAAACTCTATCGCAGTTTACGTCATGGTACGAAGCTGCTTCTTTTCTCGTGGGTAAGTTTGGACTGCAACGTTTCGACCGTAAAACACATCCCCACAGTGTGATTCCCAGCTTCGCCTGCGCACAGACAAAAATGGTTATCAGTTCCCTCTTACATCATAATGGGCACGTGCGAGCAAACCTACTAGTCGGCATAGCTTATGGTTAAGACTAAGATGTGCATGAAAGGCCCAAACTACTATGGATACCTCACACACGAGAACAATTGGCTGGCCTTGTCTGTGGAAATGCATGGCTGGTACAGCGGCTCAACAACTGATGTCCCATTGCTGAACATTCGCGTTGAGGGGGTATCGGATGCTCCACGACATCAACGGATAGCTCTGCGCTTTAATCAGCGGTCCAAGACGTCGTAGCGTTCAATTTGCTGGTACTTGAACTCGTCCGTTGCCGGGTCCACAAAAGACGCACTGCTCGGAGTCACTAATATCTGAGGAGACCTGTTCTCGCTGGGATTGTAATGGTGCTTGTGATGCGTCGCAACTTGTCTAGACTCCCTCCACCTTCGTATTGACCTATCTCGACCACGCTGCACCAACTCGGTCACGAGGACTGCCCCAAGCATAGCTTCATCCACTGCGAGCCAGCGGAGAATGCGACGCACGCGAAGGCTTCAGACGACCGCGACACCACCGTGGACATGAACCTGCGAGTCAAGCGCTTCGTTCTGAGTGTAAGCATTGCACTCGCCTTCGCGATTGCCTTCGCGATAGTTTTCCGGACGTACCGCATGGAAACACTCACGTACATATATGAGAGTGAATTCGGGGATGGCGAAACAATGTCGTCCAAGGCGTCGGCCGCCGTGGAAAACAACACAATCTCGGGCTACATGCAGTTCATGGGGTCGAGCATCTTTACGGTCTTCTGCGAGGCGCTAATCTTCCCCTCTCTCGTCACGTACCTCCATAACTGCAGCTTGTATCATGGAGATCATCCAACACGTGTACACTCAGTCAACAAGGAACGCTGCATCTTCTGGGCCTCAAGACGGAGATCGTTTTCATGAACGTCGAATTTACCAGTGTCTACGTTGGAAAAGAGAGCATGGACACTCCTTCAAGACGCCTTACTACGTCCGAAGAATTACCGCTTCAGATAGAGCCGCAGTGGGTCATGGACTCCGAGACCGATGCGCTAGATTCTATCCTGCGGACGTCCGTGACGGGAATCACGACACCCTTCGAGTTTCAAGATTCCTGCAAATGCACAACCAAGACAACAAGGATGGACACCAACAGTGGGGGGGGGATTAGGCCGACGATGTGGACAGTGATGGGGCAGCGCGTTTGAAGTGGCCTGGTATTGCATGCATCGCAGTCGGGAGAAACTCTATCGCAGTTTACGTCATGGTACGAAGCTGCTTCTTTTCTCGTGGGTAAGTTTGGACTGCAACGTTTCGACCGTAAAACACATCCCCACAGTGTGATTCCCAGCTTCGCCTGCGCACAGACAAAAATGGTTATCAGTTCCCTCTTACATCATAATGGGCACGTGCGAGCAAACCTACTAGTCGGCATAGCTTATGGTTAAGACTAAGATGTGCATGAAAGGCCCAAACTACTATGGATACCTCACACACGAGAACAATTGGCTGGCCTTGTCTGTGGAAATGCATGGCTGGTACAGCGGCTCAACAACTGATGTCCCATTGCTGAACATTCGCGTTGAGGGGGTATCGGATGCTCCACGACATCAACGGATAGCTCTGCGCTTTAATCAGCGGTCCAAGACGTCGTAGCGTTCAATTTGCTGGTACTTGAACTCGTCCGTTGCCGGGTCCACAAAAGACGCACTGCTCGGAGTCACTAATATCTGAGGAGACCTGTTCTCGCTGGGATTGTAATGGTGCTTGTGATGCGTCGCAACTTGTCTAGACTCCCTCCACCTTCGTATTGACCTATCTCGACCACGCTGCACCAACTCGGTCACGAGGACTGCCCCAAGCATAGCTTCATCCACTGCGAGCCAGCGGAGAATGCGACGCACGCGAAGGCTTCAGACGACCGCGACACCACCGTGGACATGAACCTGCGAGTCAAGCGCTTCGTTCTGAGTGTAAGCATTGCACTCGCCTTCGCGATTGCCTTCGCGATAGTTTTCCGGACGTACCGCATGGAAACACTCACGTACATATATGAGAGTGAATTCGGGGATGGCGAAACAATGTCGTCCAAGGCGTCGGCCGCCGTGGAAAACAACCCAATCTCGGGCTACATGCAGTTCATGGGGTCGAGCATCTTTACGGTCTTCTGCGAGGCGCTAATCTTTCCCTCTCTCGTCACGTACCTCCATAACTGCAGCTTGTATCATGGAGATCATCCAACACGTGTACACTCAGTCAACAAGGAACGCTGCATCTTCTGGGCCTCAAGACGGAGATCGTTTTCATGAACGTCGAATTTACCAGTGTCTACGTTGGAAAAGAGAGCATGGACACTCCTTCAAGACGCCTTACTACGTCCGAAGAATTACCGCTTCAGATAGAGCCGCAGTGGGTCATGGACTCCGAGACCGATGCGCTAGATTCTATCCTGCGGACGTCCGTGACGGGAATCACGACACCCTTCGAGTTTCAAGATTCCTGCAAATGCACAACCAAGACAACAAGGATGGACACCAACAGTGGGGGGGGGATTAGGCCGACGATGTGGACAGTGATGGGGCAGCGCGTTTGAAGTGGCCTGGTATTGCATGCATCGCAGTCGGGAGAAACTCTATCGCAGTTTACGTCATGGTACGAAGCTGCTTCTTTTCTCGTGGGTAAGTTTGGACTGCAACGTTTCGACCGTAAAACACATCCCCACAGTGTGATTCCCAGCTTCGCCTGCGCACAGACAAAAATGGTTATCAGTTCCCTCTTACATCATAATGGGCACGTGCGAGCAAACCTACTAGTCGGCATAGCTTATGGTTA